GATGAAATTGTACGTTCCCTAATCATTTAACTTAGTGCCATGTGCCAATGGCAGGCAGCCCAGTGAAGTATTCACAGATTTGAAGTCAAAATGGTGAAACTGTTGAATAAGGTCACTTAGACATTATATCATAAATTTTAAGTGTTGACTTGTTGACCTAGGGGGTCTTTTGCCAGCACTAGGACTAGTACTATATGTGTTTGTGTGGTGGGCAGCAAAGGAAAGACATTAATTCCAGATGTAAAGTGCTATGGATTGGAATCTTAACATTTATTTAAACATTTAAATAGGTTTAGACGACTGCTGCTGCCACATGATAGGCTGAGCGAATCATTTTATGAATGAGCAGGTGTACATGTTCTGCTAATAAAGCAAATAAATACCAGATGAGTTTTATGGTAAGCTATGAAGTAGGCCTTTTTCACAACAGACACACATAGCAGAGGAAGCACTGGTGTCACTGATTACAATGACGACACAGGCATTTAAGCATCACAGAACTGTACCTTGTAACTGGTGAAGTTAAAAAGAAAGCAGCAGTGTCTCAGTTTATTCTATAGACCTGTGCTTTTCCTGCTATGACATGACAAAGTGTCTGCTGGGAAAAAAAACTTTTACAATCTGAGGCAACATTACAAAGAAAAATTTACTTACCATGTATTTTCTGACATCTTCCTTGTCCTCTTCCATCTGTCTATGGGTTTTAAGCATTTCTTGTTGCATGTTGTTAATCTCTGTCACAGCTTTTTCTATATAAGCTTTCATTTCACCCATAGCCAGAATTGTAGTTATTGTATCTTGAAGTTTTCGTTCAACCTCTTCTCTTTGTCGCTGTATCTGTAGCTTAATGATTTCTAACTCATCCCTCTCTTTTATGATCTTCTCGAGCAATTGTTCCATCTTCTTCTTCTTTTTTTTCTCTTCAAAATTCCTCCATTTGATTTCCTCTGTAAAGTTTCTCTTCCTTCTCTCTGTATCTTCTCTCATCAAACACAACATCTTTGTTTCTTGTACTTCAAAAATCATTCTCTGCATGCCATTCTCTTTGTTCTTTGTGCTCATCTCCTTGTTGTCCTCTTCAACCTGATTTCCTTTATGTTTTATGACATCTACCTGTTGAAGTTTTGTTATACTCTCTTTAAGCGTGTTCTCTATGTTCACCTCCAGCCCCTGCTCTGACCTGTGTCCTACCATCACATTCTTTCTGTCCTCTAAGTCTTGTGTTGCATGTTCTGTTTCTTTCTTCATCTTGCTAATCTGTTTTTTTCTTCTGCTCATTCTTATCATTCTTACCAGGTCTTTTTTTTTTATTTCAATCTCAGAGTTCAATGCTTCCAACTCTCTTATTTCTTTCTTTGTCCTTTGTAACTTGTCATCCAGTTCCTGTCTTTGCTTTTCATTACTCTCCCTCATACTTCTCAGTGCATCCATTTCTGCTTTAGCCAAATGCTTCTCTCTCTCTATATTTTCTCTCTCTGCCTGTATTCTAGTGTTGATTCTTTCTATCTCATGTCTTTCCCACTGAATCTGTGCCAGCTTGTTATCTATGTCTTGCTTTTGCCTCTGCATGTCAGTCTTAATCACAGTTTCACAGTGTGTTACTCTCATGTGTGTATCTGGGTCTTGTCTTAGCTTTTGAGAGTTAGATTTCATGTTTTCCATTTGAATGCTCTGTGTATGTACCTCCTGCTTATCTCTCACAGTCACTTCCAGTTGTTTACTGTCTACCAAGACATCCCAAACTTTTTCCATCTCTTGTCGGATTCTGCTGAGTTTTTCCTTCACACTTTCAAATGTGTCTGTTCCTTCTTCCTGTCCTTCTCTCCTTTCTGTCTTTGTAACTGTCACGTTCTGTATTTCAGTATCTCTTTGAAACTCTATCCACCTTTGCTTCACCTTGTTGATATTGATACTCAAACTATGTTTGATGTGCTCAATTTGATCTCTATGTTGAGATATATACTTTTTATTTCTCTCTAACTCTTCCTTTACATCCTCTAAGTTTTTCTCAGTTTGTTCCTTTGCCTGTTTCGCTGTAATAATTATTTTCTTGTTTAAGTTCATTGCACTTAGCAGACTGTCCATTATCTCCTGGACTTCCTTACTGTATTTTTTTGACTCATCATACTTGATCATTTCAAACTTGCATTGCTTATTGATGATCTCATTACGTCTTCTGTCCAGAGTTTCCCTCTCTTGGTATATCTCGGCTTGCAATTTCAGATGCTGCATTTTTTCTTGAGTGGCTTCATTTTTCTCAATTACATCTTCCACCTTTACTCTCAATGCTTTTATTACCAAGTACTGATCATGTTTTTCAGCAGTCAGTCTGTCAATGTCCTTCTGTTGTTGTTCTGTCTTTGTCTTAAGGTATCTTATTTTGTTTCTTTCTCTTTCCCAATGTTGTTCAATCTCTTCCATCAGTTGATAAGGCAGTGGTCTTTGCCTTTGAATGGTCTCCCAATTGGTTGTCATGTTGACTTGTGTTGATTTGTCTTCTAATTGCTTGATGTTTGAGCTATTCTGTTGGCTTTGCTCTAATGGACAAGAAAAAGGAAAGAACGTCTCTTGTTTGAAAAATGATGAACACATCAGACCATTGTTGAGCATCTGATCTGTATCGCATGTCTTATGTTTCCTTTCTAATTAATGACATTTTATCTCT